TGGAGGGGGGAAAAGGGTCAGAAACTTAAAAATAAACACTGTACTGTTAAATAAAGTCACTTACCAGGCCTTGGTAGCCCCCAAACCACATTAAAAAGAGCAGGAAAGAGCTAAAAGCCGACACCCAGAAAGAGCCTGGCAGCCATTTTGTGGTTTTCCCTCCTCTCCCTGCCTAACAGCTGATCGGCTGGCTCTGAGCAGGCTTCCGGAGGCTTGCTCAGCACCTAAAAAGCCTGCCTGAGTGCCTTTGTGCTGAAAAAATCAGCACAACATGCTTTAAAACATTATTTAAAATTGGCTTCGTTTAAAAAAAAAAAGAGTTCTAAAGTGCTGCCTTTAGCGTTCCCTGCCTTCCCTGAACCTAAGGGGAAAAAAGAAAGAAAATATCCCCCTCTAGTGGCAGAAGGCAGAATAGCAGCTTCCCATTAGTTTCTATGGACAGAAAAGAGCAGATACGGATTAAATGGTTTTCAATGCATTCCTATGGGAAATGCAGATTCGACTTAAGAACTTTTCGACTTGAGAACCACCTTCCAATACGGATTAAGTTCTTAAGTCGAGACCCCACTGTAGCCTCCATTGTCACACATGAAGAAATTTGGAATCAGGTTCATTGCTCAATTTCTGTATATATTCCCAAAAATGCTACTCAAATTAAGGAGTAACAATCATACTTCAAGGAATGCAGCTAATTTTAATGACACTTATGTGTTGCATTCTGTCCCAAAGTGGCTATAAAGAAATCGTGTTAGATAATAAATTGGGCATGCAATGATCATATTTACCACTGTGAGATTTCTAACTAACAAAGTACAGCATGCAGCAGCATGTAGCAGGAAAAAATGAATGTACTACGTAATTGCAAACAATTAAGTTTCTGATAGAGAACAGTGATATCCTTCTTTTAAAAACGTGAACCCAATTCTTTTTATTGTTTTTTTTATTGAACAGGATGAATTAATAAGACTTGTATCAGAGGGCTGCCCAGCTCTTCTTTACTTAAATTTATCTCATACAGATATTACAAATGGGACACTAAGACTTCTGTCAAGGTAAAAACATGATGTTTGTTTGTTTTTTAAAAAATAGGGTTTTGGTATAACTGCTGTCACCTTTAACTGTTGTATATAAGTCTTCTGTAGCTTTATTCTGTATAACAAAAGAAGAGTATTGTGTAACTTTCAACACATTTATTTCAGTGTAAGCTTTCATGGATAGGAATCTACTTATTCAGACTGAAGAAATAAGTACAAGAATACCAGGAAGTCTGAGGAAGTGGACTGTAATCCACAGAGCTCATACTGAAATAAATCTATTCAGTTTAAAGCTGTCCCAATACTTCATTTTTAGCATTGTTTTCCTTTTGTTGTACAACTTCTGAGAATTCTCTGAAATCTTCCATTGTTGACAGTGGGTGTTAAATACGGCCTTCGCGAATACGGTGTTAAATTTGTTTGTCATGCTTTCACCTGCTACTACCTGAAAAAGCTATAAATGTATCTCTGCAGACTGCTGTAACCCATAATTCATACATCTCCACAACTTTGTTTAGAATATACTGTACTTTTCTATTTATAAGATGACCCAATGTATAAAATGACCCCCCATTTCCTAACCCCAAAATTAGAAAATTTGCATGCTCACACCCGTTTGATCCTGAAGCCCTTTCATGGCTTCTTCAGGATTAAAGGGGTGCAAGCATGCTGTCCTTTCATGACTGCTTTACCCTGTGGCTTCACAAAAGGCAGGGAAAGTGGCTGCCTTCCATGTATAAAACAACCCTCAATTTTTTTGTCTAATTAAGTAAAAAGTGTCATTTTATACACAGAAAAATATGGTAATGGGCTCAGATTAAAGAAAGCCAGATTTTGGTTGAAATCTGTTGTTTGTTCTGGACCTCTCAGCAGCTTTAAATATCATTGACCAGGGTATCTGTCTGGCCCGTTTCATGAGAATGTGACTTGGAAGCACTGTTTTACAGTGACTTCAGTCCTCCTTGGAGGGGAGAACTCAGAAGGAGGTGTTCTATTCCACACCTTGACTGCTCACCTGTGGGGTCACTTAAGGGTTCTGTTTTGTCTCCTGTGTTATTTAACATTTATATGAAACCACCGGGAAAAATTGTCCAGAGTTTGGGAGTTTGCTGTCACCAGTATATGGATGACATTCAACTCTATCTCTCCTTTCCATTTAAATGCTAGGAAGCTGTTTTGGCTCTAGATCAGTGTTTGATGTCAGTAATGGACTTGGTGTGGAAACTGAAACGTAATCCAGATAAGATATAGGAGCTCCTGGTCAGTAAAAATGCAGATCAAAGAATAACGATGCAGCCTGTGCTAGATGGGTTAATATCTCTCTCTGAAAAAACAGGTGCGCAGCTTGGGGGTACCCCAGGATTTGTCTCTGAGACTGGATGCCCAGGTACAGATCAAAGAATCTAGCCTGTGCTAGATGGGTTAATCCCTCTCTCTCTGAAGAAACAGGTGCGCAGCTTGGGGGTACCCCCGGAATTTGTCTCTGAGACTGGATGCCCAGGTTTCAGTGGTAGCCAGGAGTGTGTTTTCCACAATTAAAACCAGTGTGCCAGCTGTGCCCATTCCTGGAAGGTTTGATCTGGCCATGGAGACATATACCTTAGTTACATCCTGGCTGGATTACTGCAACACAATACATGGGAGTGCTTCTGTAAAGTGTTTGGAAATTTCAGTGGCTTCAAAATGCAGAAGCCAGATTGCTAATTGGGACTGGTCACAGACATCACATAACCCCCCTCCCCCCATTACAGCAGTTCCACTGGCTAGTAATCCATTTCCGGACATAACTGAAACAAGTGGTTTTAACTTATAAAGCCTTAAATGGCTTGGGGCCAAACTATCTCAAGTGTGGTTGTTGTGGGTTTTTCGGGCTCTTTGGACGTGTTCTGAAGGTTGTTCTTCCTAACGTTTCGCCAGTCTCTGTGGCCGGTATCTCCAGAGGACAGCACTCTCAAGTGTTCCTTTATGAGCCCGCTTGCATGTTGAGATATCAGGAGAGGTCTTTCTCTTAGTCCTGCCACCTTCACACGTGCATTTGGTGGGGACACAGGAGAAGGCCTTCTTAGTCAATTTTCCCAGACATTGGAATTGGCTTTGCAGGAGGCCAGGCTGGCCCATCTTTACTGTCCTCCTGCAGGCAGGCAAAGAATTTTCTCTTCAGGCAAGTTTTCCCTTAATGACTGGCTTCTTGAGTTGGGTTTTTTTCATGGATTGTTGTGCCTTACTACTTTGAATCTGTTGTTGGTGTGGTTTTGTTTATCATTTTTAGTGTGGCATTTGTTTGATCCATGTTAGTATTTGTATGCTTACTGTTTTAAGCTTTAAATATTGTATTTGAATTATGTAAGCTGCCTTGGACCCTCTTTAAGGAGAAAAGTGAGGTAACATATTTTAAATATTGATGACATTTCGGCGCC